CCCCCCTTCCCCCCTGGCAATTGGGAGGAGAGGCCAGCATGCAGTTCTACGTGGCTGCTGTGTAAGTTGGCAAGTGGGACTCCAGATCTAGAAGCCACGAAGGAGCAGAACATTCCAATAGGCTTCAGTTCTAGGACTCATCCTCCAACACAGCTTCCTAGAAACCCTGCTCATTCATTAATAAAGTATATGATTTGCTCCACAGTTGGCTAGTGAGTCTTAGATCTAGCCTTTCTATTTGTGAAAACTCTGGAGGGACAGAAGAATTGCTAGTAGAAGTGAGAGCCTAAGCTCCTTCACATGTCTAACATTTCATGTGCATCAAACCTTAAAAAAATATTTGGAAGGGGTAAGGAGGGATGAAGAGTTATGTCATATTGGGATAGACATTTCTTTGGGGAAGATGAAAGGAATTCTGGAGAATGCATGGTGGTAAGGGTGCTAACAATATGAATGTACTCAATGCTACCAAATGGCATATTTTAAAATGGTCATAATGGTAACTTTTATGCTGTATATACTTTACCATAACAATAAAAACTTCAACTCAGAGCAACAGCATTGTACAGTGATCAGTAAACACCCATGTAGCTACATATACTGATAAGGGAACGTATTTTTACCTGTTAGTTTCTTAGTGGTTATAAATTTTCTTATAATATTCCCAGTATGGCAGGCTGATGTGATACTATGGAATCAGACAGTCCTAGATTTGACCAGTAGGACACCTAGTCGATAGGACCTCAGCCAAGTTACAAATCTTGTTGTGCCTCAGTTTTCACTTGTTTTTTTTTTTTAATCTTTTAAAGGTACAGAATCTTCCATATGTCACCAATTTCAAAGAACTACCACATAAAAGACCCCGGGTAGATGTGGCAGAGAAAACAGCACCCAAGTGTTTCATTCATCTCCATGTTTCCCCTTCAGGTGCAGTGCAGGTGGGTGACAGGCACCCCCAGCTCTGAGGTTCCTGTACCACATCCAGGTGGCTCAGGGGCTCTGACTGCTCTGTAATGAACCCAGTCCAGTTTGGCGCCTCTGGACTTACCAAAGATCACTCCAAGACGTTTGTGAGCTCACTGTCTTGTAAAAAGAGTGGAGCCACACCCTATTTTCAACATCTCTGAGATGAAGGATAATTTGTTAGAAAAATGTTTATAGCTTTAGGACCACTGCATATTGTCCCTAATGGGACCTACTTCTGAGAGAATGGAATGACTGCATACCAAGACAGACTTGACCTTAAGCCTTGTCAGTCAAGATCCAAAACCATCCTCAAAGCAGGTACCCTAGAAATCTAAACCCTTAGGTGAGCCCACCAGGTCAACTTCAAAAGGAGGAATCTGCATATCTCAAGCATGGTAAAAAACTTGTAAGCCTGAAAGCAAATTGAGGCAATCTCCTCAAATTAAATAATAATGCAAACCTCTTATATGAGCTAAATTATGATTAACAGCTGCTTGTTATTGTCAGGATAAGATAATGTTGCATGTGGAAATGTGTATTAAGAAAGCATGAAAGTAACAAACTTATTCTGTGATGGTTTAACGTATTTCAGGGCCTCACATTCTATAATTCTAGGCCGTCTGTGTCAATGCCATCTTGGAATTCCATTCATACATGATTAGGTTTAATGGACCCAGCCTGTCTTCACTGTTGAGAAAAGTGAGGTCACTAGGAGCTGTCAACACTGAAGAGGAAAGACCTCAACAGAAGGGTTGCTGAGGTTCAGGTGTCAGGGAAGGTGTGGACAAGAGGCCAAAACCTAGCCATGCAATGAAAACCAGCTGAATCAGATGCCTAAGACATTTCGTACCCACCTTATTCTATGGGCCATATCAGATATGCCATGCTGCTCACCACCAGACAAGTTACTGGGAAGGCTTTTCATGTCCATGGTGACATCTGTTTTGAATTTGAGAGGAAAAATCTGGGAGGACGTCTCCCCATGAGTTCTGACCCTTCCCCACATTCTCTTAGCCTGGTAACAATATCAATATCCCTAATTAACTGGCCTGGCTTAAGTCCTATTTATAGAACAGACCATTCCAGACCAGGAAGCCCTCAGCTCCAGAAGAATAATGAATCTTCTGTGAACACAAATTGAGCCAATGATCGTGGACTAAGATAGATGACCTGAAGCCGGAATAGTTGTTTTCCAGCTTCCTCGTTCTCTGCTACCCTATAGAAACCCCTTACCCTGTAAGAGATTTGCTGTACTGGCACTTGGGAGCCAGTGGCCCCTCTCAGGTCTTTATCTTAATAAAGTCTGCCCTTGCTGTGACTTTCTCTCTCTCTCCTATTTCACACAAAAGTTTTTCTCGAAGGCAAAACTGTTGCTGCCTTTGCTTTTTGGCAAGGAGGTCAGGGTCTCAGAATAACATTTATTTAAACACTAAGGTAAGTCTGAAGCTCTTTCTAAAGTAAATCAATTTTTGTGTGGTCACTCTTTGAAAATGTAGTATATCCTCCTACTCTGTGAGAAACACAGACAAGGGTCCAGAACTTTCCTACTTGCACATCATCTGTGTACACGTTCCTCTTTTGCTTTCCTTAAGAAACTGGCCTGAACTAGAAGTGCGAGAGATGAACACCACAGTCCTTACCAGAGAACAAATGGTTAATCCCTTTGCCAGCAGCTCTCCCAGTCCCACAGGGGGACAATATTTAGGGAATGTCATCGTGTGAAGCATGTAGAATTCAGCAATCAAGCCTTTCTACATTCTACTTTAATTCAAGTTAGTCCACTGAACAATATGTTGTAGAGCCTGTTAACTCAGTGCTTAGCACTAGAATCATCTTGACTGGTTTATACTTCAAAGGGTGGTGTTTTGATTTTCTTGAAGAGGGATAGAAGTACCACTCCTGTAAAATCTGTTATTTTGTTTCACAAAAGAAAGAAAGAAAGAAAGAAAGAAAGAAAGAAAGAAAGAAAGAAAGGTCCCCAGGGAGTACAGCATCTATTTCAGTGGCGTCTCATTATATGTGTATTTAACTTATGTGAAGCAACCATTTATACTTGGATGATGGGTAAGAAGAAGGAAATAATTCAGTGCTATAACTTAAACCAATATAAAACTACATCTGACATATATTCTATGTACTACATACTGCCTTGTTCTATATGTGTTATACTTATGTAAGTATACTTAATTTTACAGGCAATATAAGGAAATTTGCAGGGGTAATTTTGATTAAAAACAATTTTTTCTTATACCCTAATCTGGAACCTAATCCATGAGGAAAACCAGTCACCATCATTGGGACCTGATGATCGACATTGTCGCTTAAGGAGTCCTCTCTGACCCAATGCATCCCCTCCAGGTAAGGTCCCTGCTTCTGAGAGCCAAGATCCACAGGACAATCTCACCCTACTGACAGGTGTGGTTTCCTGCCTCGGCCCAATGTCTCAGCATTTCCCACTCATCTGTCAGGCCCACTTCCTGCACTGAACCCTACCCACTTGTTAACACAGCTGCCTGCTCAGCTCTTCGCCTTTGGCTTTTCCTGTCAGCTACTGTGTCACTTAACCGTCAGTTTCTCAGGCACAGGATCATTGTTAAACTGTTTCACCCACATTTAGTAGAGTATCAGGTACGTCCTAAGTGACAGACAAATGCTGAACAGAACTCCAGCTGTGTGTGGCTTTATCATTACTCCTGCTGTTGCCTCCTTGAGAACAGAGCCACTGGTAACAACCTGCCGTTCAGTCAACACCCCTTTCCCTGCCGGCCTTGAAAGCAGCCCTAAGACTAACTGAAGCTCCTCATCTGTAAAATGCCTATAGTGGAAATATGCTTTAGTATCTATTGAAATGTTATAAAACACTCCCCCAGGGAATACGGATACTTATATATGTGCCCATTTTCCAATAATGACAATCGTGGAATTTATTTTCTCTCCCTCTCCTTCTCCCTCTCTCCCTCCCTCTCCCTCTCCTTCCTTCTCTCTCTGTGCCAAGACTCTCAAAATAAATAATTCTATACTTAATTAAAACCACTATGTTGACCCTTTCAATTCCCATTTTTGGCAACTTTCCTTTCTTTGATTGTGATTTTCAGTTCAAGGACTCTTGCACTTTTTCTCTAAGTGTGACCTGGGAACCACCTGCCACAGAAAAACTGCAGGTGTTTATTTACAATGCTTATTCTTAGACCCTTCAACAAACCTGTTCATCAGAATCTCTAGAGGTGGGACTCATGAATTTGCATATTTCACAAACATTCCAGGTATTTTCATGCTTGCTTAAGTTTGTGACACCCTGGTTCATTTCTATATGTTTATCATAAAATACCCATAACCTTCCTGGAAGAAAGCAATTTAGATAAATGGTATAAGAAAATATCCTACATAATATAATTATGATGGCCTTCAGGTGTTAAGAGCATTAGTTAAAATAATTCTTAATGTATTGTCTTCATTTTTACTTGACCTTTGTACTCTCAGGTTTTATATTCACAATGTTTGACAATGCCCATTACTGTTTCTTCAGAAATTATGATAAAGTGGGTATATGATGTAAAACAAGGAATCAGTACCTAAGTGCTAGATGTAAACTGTAATATGTGCAATCAATGAAAGATTTACCGAGGGCTGCTATGACCCGGGAACTGTGCCCCGTCAGGGAGACACTGTAATAAGGAACACTCACTTTCTTTCTTCGGGTGCTGGTGGTCTAGTGGAAAATGTAGATAGGTACACAGGTAAGGCCCCCACATGGTCACAGCAACAAGTAGGTCTGCGGATACAGGCCACTGCCAGGAAGAAAATCAGCTTACTATTAGCCACACTGCAAGCAGAAAATAATACAAAACCAATCCATTACTTCCCCGGTGAGAGAAATACATTCTGGTTCATGGATCAACAACCAGAGAGTCCTCCAGGAATCACCACGACATTGGGCTTGCTCGGGTCCTTCCTCTCCCCACTGCACACTTAGTCCTGGCTATTTGCAAGAAATGGCTCCCGGCTCTCCCTACGGATGGCTGCACAAAGGATCCCCACCTCTCTGGTTCTTCCCACGGAAGTGCCTGAAAGAGCATTCACTCCCTCTCCTCCCTTCTCTCCCACCTCCTACCATGTCTTGATCTCCTTCCTTTTGCAAAAACATCTGTCTCCTACTATCTACGTCTTCCTACTCTCTATCTTGTATCTTGCTATTAATTTAGATTTGGCATTTCTCGTATAAGAGAAACCATGTGATATTTGTAACATTCAAGCTTGTGGGTCTGATTTATTTCACTTAACATTATGAATTTAAGGTGTATCTGTTTTCCTGCAAACCACTCAAAGTTTATTGTTCTCTACGGCAGAGTAGTATGTCATTGTGTATAAATCCCACATTTCCCTAAAAATTAATTTAAAATTGTATTTGTATTTCAAGGCTTCACTTAAAGCCCACTTAATCTATGAAGAAGTTTTTTGGAAGCTTGCAGCTCTCATTCATTTCCTTCCTTTCTAAGCATCTACAATATCTATCGCCATTTTGCTCAACTTGACATTTCATTCCATATTCACTCACTGTTGAATTATTGACACGAGCACTTCCCGCTGGTATAATATGAGTAAATAGTTCCCTCCACTTGGCTACAAACCATAGACGGACAGGGACCACATTTCCACTTTTCAGTAACAGTATTATTGAGATATAATTCATACATCGTACCAATCACCCATTTGAAGTAGACAATGCAATAGTTTTTAAAGAATTGGAATACCATTCTTACCATTTTAGAACGTTTTTCTCATCCCCCAGGGAAACGTGTAACCAATGGCAACCATTCCCCATTCGTTCATATCAAAGTGGTTTAAAGGGATTAAACAGTGCTTCCTTGAAAGATGTTCAAAGTCTAATCCTCAGAACCTATGGCTGTGACTCAGTTTTGAAACAGGGTCTCTGCAGATGGAGTCAAGTGAAGAAGCAATCACACTGGATTAGGATGAGCCCTAAATCCACTATGAACCACGTCTCGATCAGAAGAGGGAAATTTGAAGAAAGGGACACAGCCCTAGAGGGGAGATGGCTGCGTGCAGGTGGAGGCAGAGACCCGAGTGATGTATCTCAGACAGGGGAAGCTAGGACCGGGGCCGTGAGCTAAAGCAGGTCCTTCAGAGGGAGCATGGTCTTCCCAACACTTCGACTGCAAATTTCTAGCATTCAGATCTGAGAGTAAATTTCTGTGATTCTGGGCCACCCAGTTTATGATTTCTTGTTTAGGCAGCCTAGGAATCTAAGATACATACCAGGAACACCACTTACTCCTGTCCCTAGTAAACCATTAAATTACTCTCTGCCTCTGAACATCAATATCTTCTGGACATTTTTAAGACATAGAATTATAAAGTATTCAACCTTTTGTTACTTTTCGCCTACTATAACATTTTTAAGATTCATCTATGTCATAGTTTATATCAGTATTAATTGCTGAATACTATTCCATTTTATGGGCATACCACATTTATTCACCCATTCATCAACTAATGGACATCTGGACTATTTCCACATTTGGGTAGTGTAAATAGCACTGCTATGAAGGTTCATGTACAAGTTTTTGTGCGAATATGTTTTCCCTTCTTTTAGGTATATATCTAAGAGTCCAATTGCTAGGTCATATGGCAAACCTATGTTTAACCTTTTGAGAAATAGTACACTGTTTTTCAAAGTGGTTGCACCATTTTACATTATCATTATCAAATGTTTGAGGGTATATTCTTCTTACCAACACTTATTATTACCTGGTTTTAAAATTACAGCCATTTTGTAGATATGTAGTAGTATCTTACTGTGATTTTGTTTTGCATTTCCTTGATGGTGCTGAGCATATTTTCTTTTCTTTTTTTTTTTTTTTTTT